ACAAGTTCAGGAACATCAACAACTTTGATAGATCACCATTGTCAAGATCTCAAATAAAAAGTCCAAAGATGGATGTTATTTATATAGATTAGTTAATTGAAAATATTATTATACTTAAAATAGATATTAAAAGTATGTGATGAAGCACCAAGATACCGTATTCTACAAAGTTGTATTTGTATGTGGACTATAAAATTCAATTGTTCTTCTTCCAATTAAAAATATATTTCTACAAGATATTTGCAATTAAGTCGTGTTATCAAGATAAATTATTGCTCTATTAAAAGATGATATTGGTACCAATCAATTCAATTGTATTAATTATTTAATTATCAATAAAATATTCTATAGAATATATATATTCTATAGATACATTTATATATTATTTGTGCTAAGTTTGTCAATTTTTTTTCTTAGTTTTTACATTCTTTGGTATTTAGGACATGTACACTATCAAGTTTAAAATAGAACTAAATTCTACTTTAAGTTGAAATATACAAGTTAGATTGTTCATTGCTAGTAGTTTTTATTACATCTAATATATTCTATTAGTTTCAATCATATTATTTTCAAAAATGGTGTTTAGAATTTAATTTAATTTATAATTTTTAAAATATTCTTTCTTGTTTTTAGTTATAATTTTCTTACTTTGTATATAACATATTAATATATAATAAATTCAATAGATCTTTTTTATCATGTACTTAGAATAATTATCAAGGATTAGAATATCTTTTGTTTTAATCCAAAAACTGCAGATGTATTGTAGCATCACAATTCCAAAATCCACTCTCCAACATCAAAAGAAGTCATTTGGTATATCTTTTGTCTACTCATCCACATCCACATATCTATCTATTTCCACAAAAGCTACCAAAAGAATCATGTAATACAATAGAATAAGGAATATTTTATTATATTTTGATATATATTTGGCTAAATAACATGCTTTAAATAATCTCACCAATTATATTATAAAACTAATTACATGAAATATCAATATTATTAGATAGTTAGTGCATACTATTCTTTTATTGTATATATATATTTTTAATATTTATGCATTTATATTTTTATAATTAAAAATAATGACTAAATTAGATTTAAATAAATATCTGTATATATTTTTTATTTAAAAAAATAATATTTATATTTGCATTTATCTAGAGGATTTTATATTTATTCAACTATTCATGTGTTTATCATTTTTAACTACCATGTTCTTTCTTGTTGTCTCTTCTACATTCCAATGTAGAAAAAACACTCATTACATCAAGGAGTTGATAATCCAAACATATTTGGTTTAATAGACTATTGGCGTATTTTTATAAGAAGACCACAACACACTAAATTTAAGATGGATGAAATTTAAACCATCAACAATCCTAAATATATAGCACAATAAATATGATAGATACAAATTAGACTCAATGAGGCTTGAATCAATGACTTGGATATATTTTTTACTTATAAAACAAGGTAAAAGACTGCAACTTTTTAATAATTTGCTTGATTGAAATTCAAGAACAATCTTGAATTAGATATATATTTAAAAAATAAATAAATCTTAAGGCACTAAAAAAAATATAAGATAGATTTTATTTTTTATTTTTATTTTTACATACCTTTGAATAGTATTGACCTTTAGAATTTTTTTTAGATCCATTTCAAAGAAATGATTTAATTTTAAAAAATTAAAAATTATAATTATTTTTAAAAATATATTATCATGAAAAAAATATTATTATTATTATTATTTTCTTTTGTTTTATTAATAATTTTTTGAATCAAAATATGAGTCATATATTTAGACCTTAAAAAAACTTAATACATTTTATAACAACTTTTTACTTTATACTAGATTCAAAAATCAAAAATTCTAATTAAAGTTTTTATTTTTATTTTTATTTTTACTAAAAAAGAGACCTTTGTATGGCTTTTAAGCTATGGCCTTTAAAATTTAGCTTTTATGAATAAAATACTCTCTAGAAAATATATATTAATTATGTTACTATTACTTCACTATCAATAATTATACACATTATTTACACAAAATTCACTTTGGATACAATTGTATTTTATATTTGATAAGTTTAATGCATTTAAGGTGATGCTAAAATATATTAATAGGAGCAAAGTTTGCATGTGAATAAAAAATTAATAAAATAAAAAAATACTTATGTATTAAAATATTATTTATAAATGACATATACGTATATATGTATATGTGTATATATATAAGATAATATTATATATTTATATTAAAATATAAAAATAATATAATATTATTATATATATTATTTTATATAATTTATATTTAAAAATAGATAATTTATTTTTATAATTAATATTATTCAAAAATCAAAATATTAAATGTTAAATATACATCAAAAATAATATATTATTTTTAAAGCAAAAAAGATCTCTAATACTAATATATATATATATATATATATATATATATATATACAAATATATTGGTAATCCTTGCTATAGTCAATCTTTTTTAAATCAATCTTGGATTATCATCAACATATTTTGTTGGTTCTAATTTGTACCACTTATACTATACTATATTATATAATTAATAATTTCTTTGGTTATAAGATGTCAATTGTAATAAGAATTGATTAATTATATATATATATATATATATATATATATATATATATATATAGGCTTAGGCTTCGGCTACAAGTATATTTCAAGTTGCTATTGTTATATAGAACTCAACACTTACAACAACTATGGAAGGGGGGGAGAGAGAGAGAGAGAGAGGAGTAGCTCCCATTGTAGCAATTTCACTAATTGGTCAGTAAGCAAGGTCAAGAGGTAATTCCTTCCAAATATATATATATATATATATATATATATATATATATATTGTATAGACAAGGTGGTTTTGTAATTTTAATGTTTATTTTCAAAATTGTAGACATACAAATTGTGTATGTCTTTTTATGTGTCTTTCTCATTTCTTCTTTGCTCCAACTTCCTTCTTCCTTTTTTTTTTGTTTTTTGTTTTGTTTTGTTTTGTTTTTTTTTTTCTTCTTCTTCTTCTTCTTTCTTTCTTTCTTGCTATGTGTGTCTCTTTTCTAATGAGTATTCTTTCATTATATTGAAATGAATGAATAAATAAATTCAACTCATAAGAATAGTTGCTTAAAGACATCTAAATCCATTTATTTACATAAGCAATTGCCTCCCCCCCTCTTTCTAATCCCTCCATAGTTGTTGTAGGTTTCAAGCTCAATACAACATCTTGCTAATTAGAGGCTTCCATTTTTCTTAGATGTGTGTATGTAGCAACTTGAGGCGTGCTTGTAGCTTGAATCATTTTGATATATATATATATATATATATATATATACATTTATATCCATTCATTGTACATATTATAATCTATGCAAAATAACTTTGTTGCAAAAAATTTATTGTAAATTAATTTTATAGAGAACTAGCAAATTTTTGTGTTGTAGGGCATTGCAATCTCCCACACTGCCATCCCTCCATTCCTTTATCCATCAATGTTTGACCAATAAGAAAGCTTCTTTATGTCCATCTTATACCCATGTTGTTTTATACAATAAATGTTCATAGAATGCCTAGCCAAGACGCTTGTTTCTACATCAAACTTTCATTCCTTCAACTATTTCACTGTCTTTCTATTTCCAGACAGTCCCTATTTAAAACTATACTTGGTATTCAAAGGGAGTAGTTATAGTAGTAGTGGTAAGTATTGAACTCTATTCCCAATGCCCAAAGTACACACCAGGCAAGGCTTACAGACTGTCAGGTAGATTAACGAATACCGTCCCTGTCGGTGTGTTCCATCTAATCAGATTTCTTGCCGCGCTGGTGACGTGTCGTGCTTACATGGCAAATCAGAACTGGTTGTTAGGGACCTGGGCGAGTCGTCGCAGTGGATGGATAAATGGATGAACTATGGACGCATGTGTGGATGTAGGATGGATGCAATGAACTGGCTTTCTTTATCTCAGCTTCTTAAAGAAAGTTGCCCAAAGTTTCATGACAATAACTTTGACTTATGTCCCTACTTTTTCTACCCCATCGGACGGCTAGGGTTGATGGGCTTTTAAATGCCACAAATTCAGTTAGTGCCACTTTTGTTCAATACATTCATATTGGTCGGGAAACGTTAATCCGAATTCGTAGTAACATTGGTGCTCGAAGTTATGTCCAAGAAGTTAATTGTAGAAGGGAGAGAGGAATTTCTTTGAAATTGCATGCGCTTACTGAACCGTGCTTTGGACGGTGGAATGGAGTCGCACGAGGTTCGACTTTGCATTGAGTTTGTTTTCCAGGAAGCCATTGGCGGTTATTGTGACATGATGTTTGCAGCAATCGGAAGCTGGCAGGTGCGCAATTACGAGGATCGAGGTTAGACTACGAAATTACAACAAGAAGACGCGTCGACTTCAGGTGGATCAGGTCGAGCTTACGTGCGCAGTGAGTGAGATTGGATGCTCTGATACCGACCAACGACCAAATATCAACAGACAGGAGGCAAGGTGCTGAAATTACGCGAGAGCGACAACGAAGGAGAGACTTAATAGAGCTCCCCTTGTTACGATCATTTCGGGCTCTCGGCAATGCGGAGTAGTAATGAATTTCGCGTCAATTAATTTTACTCAACGTAAGCCACCACGCTTGATGAACCGAGCAACAGCTCAAACACAGCTCGAGGTCGGAAAGACGCCATCCGTGTGCTTACGAATCGGCACCAAGCAAGAGGGTAATAAATGCAACCGACAACCATGTACGTGAACAGTTTACATCGATTACAAAACATGTATCTGCTAGGACAGAAAATAGATGAATGCATCGAAATATTTTGAAGACATTACCAATGCAGAAAATGAAACATAAATACCACTTTACTAGCTCACATTTCCACGTTGTAGAGTTAGAAAACCTAGAGATTAGTATTTGCCTCAACAGATTCATTGCGTTGAACGTCCAATTGACAGACACTGTTGTGGACGGCGAAAGACCAGTCTGAGCTGCACAAGTCATGCAGGATATTACCAAAATTCCAAATCTCAGCACAATTATCTTGTTCACGAGACAGTCGCTGAGACCTCACCACGACGAACGCGCGTAACTCCTAGTTTCAAGAATCCTCGAGACCTACAAAGGAATCCGCCTTCTGGATCAAAACAACAGCCAGATTGTCTGAACATCCACATGCTGTGACGCAACTAGCGACTTTCAAACGCAAACCCTTTATAACAGCAAACACTAATTCTGAAATCAATCAACAGCCGCTGACGTAATCGATGCAGGCACGGATTCATGAAGATGCTGAAGTTGGACTCGTGAAGCAATGCAGCAAGAGGCTTGAATTCATTGGATTGAAAATCTTGAAGAAGGCACATCCACCTTTCGACAGTTGTCGGCGTGATTTGCAATGCTTGCAATGTCTTATTGCCGCCTGCCATTGAAATCGGAGTTTATCCACAATGTCATGGTGTGTCTTTGCCAGGGCTTTCTAAGGGTTCAAGGTTTAATTCCCTTTAGCTCATTCTCGAACTTTGTTGACCGGCATTTTTTTTCTATTTGAGTACTGTGTCTTGTTCATTGCGAGTACAATCGGAATGTGTGCTCCGGAGGGAAGGGTCACCAACTCAATCGACAGTCATGAAGTGACCACGGTAGTAATTCTTCATGGAATATTTCAAACGAAAATAATAATAAAATCGCTCTTCTGTACACTAGGAATCTACAACAGAGCAGACAGAAGACCATATCCTAGATCGACCTCTCAAATGCTAATTCGGAGCGTCTTCCATCGTTCTATTACACCATGGTAATCACAACAGAGTACGGTGTCAATCAAAACTGGTCAGGATGACGAAGCACGTCCTCCTTGCGATGCTGCACTCGCTGTTTCTCCGGTTCCTCGCTGTACCCCGCATGTGCGTTCGATTGAACTGCACGATTGTACACGGGATCAGTAAAAACGGTGGCGTACACTTGATGTGCGTGATTGGAGCTGATGGGAGCAGGTGGGACGTCGAGGTCTTCTTCAAACGCCGGCGCGTATGGTTGTTGCAATCCATCGTAGACATATCGTCCAGCTCCTAAGGGCGGCACGGGAGAATCTTTTCCTCTCCCGAATGACGCCCCACGGCGTGGCAGATCATCCTCGTCCATGCGGTCGGGTCTCACTGGTCTTTGATAGCCAGGTTCCCGGTCTACTAGTGATGGTATTCTTCCGTTGGTATCGTCAGTAGGGTGAGGACCATGTCCGTAGCCGCTACCACGTCCTCGTCCTGATGCAGCTGCAAATTCCTCGTCAGGTAGGGGAGAGCAAGCTCGCGGCGGAGATCCTGTTCCACCGTAGCTAGTGTTGTGTGGAGATTTGTGTAACGATTCTGGATCCACGTGCCGGATGGGATGGCCTTGCCTAGCTCTCTCACGGTCTCTCACTCCGTCGAGCTCTGGATCATAATATCCAAATGGCTGCGCTCGTGGAGAAGTTGGAGGGGGCTCTGACCTGCTGTACATGGTGCCTTTGTTCATGTAGAGCTCATGGTCTTGCTCCGGGTCATAATACGCGAGCCCAGATCGTTGTGCTCGTGGTGAAAGCATGGCACGAGATACTGGGATGGGCCTGGCGCGAGATGGATTGTGTTTCTGCCCATCCCAGTCTCGCTCCGGGTCGTATAATGCGAAAGGTGTCTCTTCCTTGAATCTGCTTCCCATAGTCGATGGCGCTGTCTGACCTCAGTGGAATATCTCTTTGAATAGTTCCCTCCACACAGATTCGTCATCAGAATACCAGAGAGTTGCAACACAAGAGCTTGAATGCGATTCGGTGGAAGAGACAAGACGACTACAATACTAATAGCATGTACTGACCATCAACACGTACAACCTTTCTAGTCCCCAGCTTTTGAAAAAAGAAAGAACAAGGAATGAATTCATTTTCTCAAAACACTGAGGACCTGGTCATACACTGAAAGAGAATGACGACTTCAGTTCAGAAACATGGCGCAACAAAACCAAAACCTAAGAACTCATGTTTTGGAAACAGTGCATGAGCGACAACAATGTGTTGCAAATTCCCCTAAAAAGATCGTCGTGGACAGACTGAACGTGGGGGCGTCCTTACCATGAACCTCTCAAAACTTCATAAAAAACAAACCCCTCCTAGTTGTGCATAACTCAATCACAGAAAATGAAAGTTAGAAACCATGATCCCCAAGCCATCACTCCCAACAAAAACTCATGAATTTCCACAGAAACAAATTACCAACCAGACATTCAAACTGCATCTAGAGAGACAATTCACGCACTAACCCTCCCATCTCCACACAAAAGATCCCAAACAAAAACGCTGCACTGTACACAAAACATCAGGAAATCAAGGGGAATAAATAAATAAATAAATAAATAAAAACACAACAAGAAACAGAGGACGGAGTCACATCAAAAATCTGCAAAAACACTAACCCCTCCCAAGAAACACCAAATTAAGATGAAATCAGGATCAATTAGGACAGGGAATCGCGCGTGGTAATGGACAAGGACTCAAAACAATCCCTGGCACGACTCAGCAATCGTAGCCAGCTCTCGTTTCAGCACCATGCAAAACTGCGAAAGAAAAGGGTCTCAAGGTGAGGCAGAAACCTGCAGAGGCTGAATTCTTTCACCGCGCCGAGAGGCAGTTCGTCGAAGAAATAATCCAGCGAAGCAGGGGATCGATCGATCGATGGATTGACGAGGTCGGACTGGATTCGTCAATTTGTATGGAGCTCGATGGACTGTCTCCGTTTCGCGACGGCACTGCCTGGTGCTTTGAAGCGACGCGTCGAGGGGCGGGCTGCCCGGGCCCGCATAAGGATGGGGATGGAGACATCGGGGGCAGCGGGCAGTGGATATGAAAAAACCAGTAGGAAAACGCTAAAGTCAAAAGATAAAAGGTAAAAGGAAGGGTTGGACGGGAATGAGAACAATGCCTTGGGTTGTGTTTGTATTAAGGGGGTTCAGACTTGGCACTTTCACAAAACCCAATAACTGGGATTTAGCACTTGATATTTCCAGTATCATTCAATTTATCATTCAATTCAATAAAATCCAAAATATCACCATTCAAGCTTTATTACCCCCCTAATATTACCCCCTGATTCAAACTTTATTACCCCCTGTTATGGAGTCAAAGAGGGAAGAGAGTTAAGACAAGCGAAACAGTTTTTGATATTTCACCTGCCCCTCTTTTGATATTTTGACTCAAACTCACCCACCTTGAAAATAAATAAATTTATTTATTTTTATTGTACTTAAAAACTTATAATCCATAATATCTAAAATGTGGTACATATTTTTATTTCTAAAAAACATCTATCTTTTAGCTTCACAGGTGATGAAGTGTACTAAGCACTATTTTTATTTTTTTATTTTTTTATACATGTAGATAATATATATTATCTTATTCCGTGATAAAACTAAATTTTTAGAAAAACCTATAACACAAATCAAACAAAAATTAAATAATATATACTTCTATGTTATTAGATGTACATAATACATCAAGTATTTATACAATACCACAGTTGATTTACAGAACTGTAATCCAAAATATTATGCACTAATTGAATGTGACACAGTTCCATTGCATGTTAATTCAAAAACTTATATATCTAATCATGTATGAAACATGTTGAGGAATCATTAAGATAACATATTTAATGTTCTGTTTATTTTTTCAATTATAAGTTTTCTTAATAAAATAATATACAATTTGCAATTTTCCTTAGAAACTTCAACAAACACAATTGTTATTCATGTTGAAAGCTTAATTTGGTATCAATAAAATATTTCTTTATTCATTATTATAATTTTATACTAAAAAACACACGTGTAAGGTATGTATTGTGGATGTAACCAAAAATTAGATGAAGTATTTTCAAATAATACGAAATAGATTAGACACATGTTTTTATTTTTATATTGATTCAGAAAATTACTAGGATTGAAAAACAATGACATGAATGATCGTAAAAATAATTGCACAACCTGATTGTTAGTTTCAAAACAAGTTGATTTCAAATGCTATACACTTTACCAACTGTTTTATTTTTTTGAAAATAAAAATATAAAAATATATAAAGCTCCAAATTCACCAATCAATATGGTGATTCTTAACAAGTACATCAGGGATACAAAAAATTGCGTGTGAATTTTATTTGTTTATGTACCTAATTTTGGAGAATGAAGCATTTTTAATATTTCAATACCTTCAGGTAAGTTTTAGGTTTGTTCAATTAAATGTAAACTTACAACTTTAAAAATTCAGCATTAAAATCATTATAAATGTGTGGGTCTGTCTTGATGTTTCATGGTAAATTTAGATGTATTCTGTGCTGATGTATGTTGAAGACTTGGAAACCCACATTTTTTTGTTGCCATTATTTCAATTTTTGGTTTTCTTCCAATACTTTTTACTTGAAACTTACATGGCTCTTTGAAGAATGGTATTGGTTTTGGTTGATATTTCATGTAAGTAATTGGATCCATTTTTAACATGTTTATGTCCTTTTGTTTGTAACTTCCAATATCAATGTTATGTTTTTTGTTATCCTTTGTTTTCTTTGCACTGGAGTTGTTGGAATGTGATGAGTTTGGAAACCAACATATTGGTTTTTTTTGATGTAACATCCAATCATTTGGCCCTTCATTAATTGCAAATTTTTTCTTCATACTTAATTTACAAGTTGACATTGAATTCAGTGGAAATTGATAGTGAAGTTTATGCTATTGAAAATTATGAGTTATGTTTAAAATCCACAATCATTAGAAGTAGTTTTAGATTGTGATCTGTATTTTGGTTACAATATAGTGCAAATAAAACTGAGAAACATCTAAAGATCAACCTGGGACATGAATTAAAGTGCATGATCAAGTGACATAAACACTTGGGTTGAGAATACACACAATTTTCAAATCATAAATAGTAAATAATTTTTTTTATTTAAAGAATGATTAAAATAAATTAATATTGGGAAATCTATATTTTATTAGAAAACTTACATATATAGGAATAAAAAAAAATGAAAAAAATAAAATTATTATGATACTGTTATTTTTAGTATCAAGTTATTACTTTTTGATGAATATAAAAAATTGTGAATATGATAAATCCTAAAAAAAATTAAATTAAATTAAATTGTTTAAGATGATTATGAAAATAATATTGGTGCAACTTGAACATTTTTATCTACTACTGAGTTGTCATTATTATTATTTAGAATATTATTATTGGAGCATCAAGAAGATGTTATCTTTGTTCTAGTATTCATAACAAAAGATTAGGAATTTTGTATCTTGGATTTGAACTACTAATCTTTTGGTACCATTTTCTATTTTCTGGTACTGTGAGGTCATTCAAGAATATCGAAAAAAAAAAAAAAAAAAAAAAAAAAACCCTTAAAAAAGTCTTAATTTTTACTGATAATATATTTAATGTAAAACTGCAAACTCAAATAATTATTTATAATATTTTATTAATATTCATTAACATATATATAATTTTAAGCACAAAATAACTTGATTTAGAAATTAAATAATAACTAAAAAAGTCATATAAATTTAAAACAATATTTTGCTTTGCTTTTATGTGGCTTCAGAAACTGAAACAAAATATACCGTGATTTGTTGCTTGAGTGATAATAGAACGTCTGAAGCTTTCTATTAAATTGTTAAATATAGTCTTATTGGCATTACATAGATAATTTGCTTGATGGATATCAAATTATACAATTATACGAAAATGAAAAAAATGTGCTTGATGACGTCTTGTTTATTATTATTATTATTATTATTTACTGAAATAGATATAATAAGTGCCTATGTAATATCAAAATTTATTATAGTTAATTTTCTCATTTTATCCTTTGCAATGTGATGTTTAAAAAAAAAAACCACTCAAAATGAAAATATAAATATAGTAAGAAGTTTTTTTTATAACAATCCAATATTTTTAATCTATATATATATATATGTATATATAAGCCGCAAGTTGCATTTCATAGCTTCAGACTATGTATCAAAATCCTCACTGGTGTTATTCTTTTTTATATGCTTTATGATGCGATTAAAGTTCAAAAACAATTAATTTAAAATTTTAAATATCTATTTAAATATGCTAAATCATATGTAACCTTGCATAATGTGCCTAATAAAGTCCTTAAATGATTACCTTATGTATAAAGTTAAAGAAAAAATACCTAAATATTTATTATAATTTTTTGAGAAAATTTATTAAAATTACTTGTTGAGCATATGTAAAACAAAATAGTGCATAAAATGTAATTTCAATTCTTATTTATGGATGTAAATAAATACAAAAATAAGGACTAAATAAATTATTTAAAATCATATATATATATATATATATATATCTGTATTTCAGATTAATTTGTGTTAATCAGGAGTTTGTACTTGAAAACATTGGCAAATCTCTTTTCTAGTATTTGTATGGATGTATGTATACAAATAAATTATTTGATATAAAGATGTTGTAAAAAAGCATGAAATTTTTTGCAAAATAAAAAATTGGATTCTACAGTGTGAATATGTGTATTTAGAAATAAAGTTCCCCTTTTTTGCAATAACCAATTCAAATACCTTAAATCAAATTTTACATTGACCTGATTTTTGAAAAATCTGTTGATTTTTTTTACCAGATAGCACTTTAAAAATAATTTAGAAATTCATAAATACATACAGAGTAACTTTACATTAGACATTTTACTGCCATTATCTTTATTGTGAAAATGTCACTCTAGCAAAAATGTCTATTGTGAAAATATTGGAAGAATTGCTTTCAATGTTATTTATCTCATCATTTTCAAATGACTCGATAACTAAGTTTGAAGCTTGGTATTCATAGTTGGAAGATACATGTCGACCATCATGAAAGATGTGGGATGTGCATTAGCACTTTTTGAGAGACTAATTCATCTTTATTAATTACTTAAAAAAATCCATAATCTCAAGTCACACCCTAATTAGAGATCTTCCTTCACCTTTGCTTTCACATGATGAAGGTAAACTTGCAATGATTTTTTCAATAGCCTATCTCCCATAAAACAAACAATCAGAATATTCTTCTATAGATAATTATTTTTATTTTTATTTTTTAAAATTTCTCCTCATCTAACATAACTTAGATCACTTTCATGTTCAACAAGAAGCAAGTACAATTTTTGGCTAAACCATCAAGAAGTTTTTCACTTGGTGTAGCTTAGATATGATTAATAGTAGTAAACTTTTCTAGGTTTGATGTTGTTGTAACTAACCCAGATTCTACCTTTGTTGTGCTTGGTCCACTTTGCAACCTTCCTCTCAGATGGTAGAACCCACATGTGCACATGCCATCCTTGTCTTTAGCACCTTGGTGTATATTGCCATCTTGGTATTGCCTTCTAAATCTCCTTGTACAATAGCCTTGAAGCCAAACAACATACATCAAAATAGAAAAATCTTAATCTATGACTGTATTCTACCACTGTGTTCCTTTGCCATGACATATGTGTACAGCAACAAGGATTAGATGAAAGGTAAGTAAATAAATTTTTCTTCACATGCGATTGAACAATCTCTTGTCTACTGACATAATGCATGCTTTGCCTTGTATTCTCCCACATACACAACAGAATCCACTGGAGCACCATTGTGTCTTTCTTCCCCATACTACTGCATCTCCAATTGCTGTCACTCATAACCCATATTTTGACCCAGATTCCTACCAGTGTCTTAGATTGTTGATTTTGGAAAAGAAAAATTAGAATATTTTTGGATGCTAGCTTGTTGTACATGACTCAAAGTGTAATATGGTTCTTAGAGGTATGGCTTATTATTACTACACTAATCCACTATAATAAACATATTTGATCAAAAATCATGCTGCAGACTTGCACTTACAACTAATAATGCGCAGAGACAAGACACACATCTTCTCAAGTTTGCTTTCAAATTTCACTCTTTAATTTGCAAAAGAACCCTAGAGTTGCTATAGGTGCTTGGATTTGTCCCTTAGGATTTGATTTTGATCCTAGTTGGCAACTAGTCCTTTTTGGATATCAATTCTTATCTTTTTGAGGTAAATTTTGCTAAAATCAACTTTTAACTCCTTATATATGCGTATATTTTTTTTTTTCTAATTTACTTTATTTTGTCTTATTTATTATTCTACAAAGTAAATAGAATCCATTTTAATAAATACTTTTTTTAAAACCACAAGATTTTATTACTTGCCTATCATTTATTTATATTTTTTTATTACTTCTTTTAATTAGGTTCTTTTATAATAATAAAATATTTTTTTTCTTCTTTCACCAAATAGTTGTGTTACTATATAACACCACAAGCCATAATACCAATAAAATTCCTAAAAGTCCTAAGAAAGATGAGGAGATAAAAAGTACTATCAAAGATTCTATTCCTATAGTACAAAAACAAAGGTACAAATCCAAGCTTTCATTGAAGAACCAAGTGGATGTTGAAAAATCCACAAATAGATTATGAAAGGAGAACAAAAGTAGTGCTAGTAGTAGCAAAATTTGCCTATAGATTTCTGCTTGCATATTACACCAAGCATATTAGGCCATTCCAAATCCTGACAAGCTCAATGAGTCAAATTACAAAGAATTTTAGGAGAAGATGTAGCTATATCTAATATTTACGGTCTACACACTATAAGAGTAAGAGGTATGTTATGTGAATTAATAAACACATTACCAAGAAATAGTTGATGGATTCATATTGGAGATAAAAACATAATAAGAAGAAATGTAATAAGTCCAATATATATGGCTTGTCCATCTCAAGTAATAAACAACAATTGTTTAACACCTTTATAATGTCATTGCAAGTAGAAGATATCTTTCTATTATCAAATTCCATCCAATTTAATTGACATAGCAAGAAATAAGACAATACTTGTATTATGGCTAAATAAAATTGAACATCCATATTTTAGATATCGAGAGTAATCACCACTTCTATTGATTATGAGATTTTTAGAGATTGCACTTATTTAAACTACATGTATGTATGGTAACAAATACAACTTCAATTTGGAGCTTGTTGGAAGTCATCATATATCATAAATATACAATACCTATGTAATAAAGTAGTCCAAAGCAAGATTTCTCACATCTGGACGTTGCATCTGTTTCTACTCTTTTTTCTTAAGCTTAATAAATATATGAGATTCTACAAAGCATATTATATTGACAAGGCCACCAAATACATAAGAGAAGAATCTATTCTATAAGTATAATTGACTATCCCAATAAGCACCTTACAACAAGATTCAAGAGATAGTGATTGCCATAAAAAAGGTAGTTTCATGCGTTGACCAACTCTAGCATTTAGAATATTAGAAAGTTGAAGGGCAAAAATTATAATCTTGATTGAAGTGACAAAGGATAGATGATTGTTACATAAAAAAAGAAAATCCAAACATACAAGATATAATCCACAACCTAACATATCACCAAGTTGGCTAAGGTATAAGATCAAGTTCACAACAACCAAGATTCTATTGCCTTTATATGTCAAAAAATTTATAAAAAGTTGTATATGTCATTCTTGGCTATTAGTGCAACAATTGGGATAAGCCAATATGCAAGAGATTACATCACCATTAGCTTAGATGTGGCAATGAAGGAGAGATTCTAAACTCTCATTATCTTAGTTGAATTCATTGTATCCATGAAAGACATAAAAAAGGGTAAGTCCCTTAGTCTAGATAACATTTTTTAGAATTATATTATATGTTTTGAGAGGTAATTGAGCAAGAGTACTTAATCATGCTTTCAGAAATCATAAATCGTGACTAGTTACCACTTGAGATAATACAAGTGATAATTGCATTACTATACAAAGGAGGAATTAGAAGCAATCTCATTAATTGAAGACCAATTACCTTCTTCAATGTTGCCTAGAAGATTTATGCAAAAGCTCCACAACTATGACTTGAACATATGCTTACAAATATTATTAGAATAGACCAATTTGCTTTCTTACCTATAAGGTTTATATTAGACAATTTATTATTGATCTACATGATCATGGCATGGGCAAAAAAATCACATTAGATTTTTCTTTTTTTTTTTCTTTTTTTTTTTCTTTTTTTTCTAAAGCTTGACTTTTCAAAGACATATGACATGGTCAAATGTGATTTCTTGTTTCATACAATAGTAAGTTTAGAACTCTGAACTAAATTCACACACAAAGTTAGATTATTGTTCATCAAGCGTGTGTAAAAATCAATGGCTCACTCTCTACATCTTTCACTCTCTACATCCACTTGCTCCTTCTTTTTTATTTTAGCCAAAGACTCAATAAGATGATTGCAGGAAAAACCAAACTTAATTCAATGAGAAGAATCCAACTTCCAGTGGCTCACACACAACAAACTATGGCACAATACACAGATGACACTTCTCTAACTCTGCTTGGAGAGGAAGGGAGTGTGCAAAATGCCATTTATCTAAAACATTTTGTCTAGGATCAGGCCTTATCTTAAACTGGAATAAGTCCAATGGCCATTGAAAAGGTTCCCAAGATCCAATCCACCCTCCTTGGACAAATGAACTTGGTGTTACAAAAGAACTAGAGAGATGATTACATTAAATTTCACAGAAAGTTGAAGTTCTGTAGGATAAATTAAATCTCCTTAGTACTAAGAAGGCTCAAATTTGAATGAGGTGCAAAGTCTCACAACAGCACTATGTGGTAAACAATCAAGAAAGGTAAGAGACTCTAAACCTTAAGCCCAGAGGAGAGATTATTTTATACAACCCATATCGACTTTCAATTTTGTGCAAGTACAAAAAGCAGGATGTGTCAGAGTATTGGCTATGATAAAATTCCACAGTTTGAAATGACATTTTCAGGCATTCATTGAAGACTATTCTACATTACAAAGATCCCACTGCAATGAAAATAAAATCATGACTCTATTGCCCGTTCGACTGAATTTGAACAGGTCAAAACGAGCAAAAGAGCAGTCAACCTTAATGTCAGCGCAGAAAGGAGGCGCAGGAACAACTATTCTTGAACCTCCGCCCTAGTTAAATACCAACACAACCCTAAACACGTGGTCATTTCATCGTAAGGAACTGTTCCCGGTGCAGTATTGTATACTGACATCTACATTACAGTAGTCCTGAGTGCTTCAGCTCCAACTGCGCAGCTTCAAAATTTACCCACTCCAACTCAAATTGGACAGGCTCTGGGGGTACATCTCCCTGCCAACAAGACAACTTGCAACATAGCAATGTGTAGGAAGTAGCTTGTACGTAAATTAGCATAAATTAATAGACAGGACACCTAAGTTGGTCGTTTGGAACTGTCCCTTGTAAATTTGGAGCTTAATTTAGAGAAAAAAGTAAGCTTAATTACGAAGTAATCAACGAGCTTACCAATTCGTAGCTGTCATAGGGAAGCACTGTGGGATCCAAGCGCCATCCGCAAGTGCCCTCTTCGTAAACATAACACCTGAAGCAATATATTGATATGAGAATCACGGGGTTAAGTAAAGAGGTCTGTACAAGTGATTACAATAACAGGTAGAAATTGTTTCGTCAGAGGGACAATTCTTTACTAGTATCCAACTTGAGAGGTTATTGGGATGCTGGCATATGATGAACGATGACAATGCAAAATGACAATGAACAATGATGCCTTGCAAGTTCCAAAAAAACAGGGAGGCATATAAAGATTGTATCAGTAGTACCGTTTGAAACCAGCGTCTTGAGCTACATAAGCCGCCCATGAAGCACGCCTGTTTGATCTACCTGTATAATCTGAAATTCAAATTTAAAATGATAATGCAAGGATTGAAAACTTAGTTCCCATAACGAGGCCCTTCATCACCAAAAAAAATTGAAAAAGTGAAAGATAGCTCTGCACAAGCAGGAGGGACCTCTCCAAGGTAAAGAATAGCAGCAGAAAGATCATACAAGAGTATAGCGGCAACAACCTAGATAAGAAGTAGGGATTGAAAACCCGAAGAATAAAAAGGAGAAAATGCATTGCTTGCTGCAGCAATAAAAGCATAGCTCAGGGAATAAAATAAAAATTGAATTATAGACAGACCTCAAACAATCTAAGAACTTACAGTGGAGGATGACAATGTCGTCAGTGTCAATCTTGGGTTCATGATACCGCTTCTCGAATGGTGCAGGATCTTTCGCTAGTGCCTTTGGCCACCCCTCCACTGCGCGGCCATATGCTTATAAGTCATACGCATACTTCGGCTATCACATTTAAGAAAAATAAGAACCTCTTATTTTGATACAGAGGCGGATGCAGTAGGAGTCTCTAGAGAATCTAAACAAAATACGGTATTTACTAAGTCCTAGTGGAGAAGACTGTTCGCACCTCGAATGTGCAAAGACCCCTTGATGTGCCCATACAAAGCTCGTTCATCCTGCCTACGCAGGTCAATCAACCACGGTGTATTTTCTCCCACATTCTTGTCATCTGCCATGGCTTCCTTGTTCCGGACCAACAGAGCAACCGCATCCCTGCATCACCAATAGCCAGAAATGACAGATCGATATAGAAGTTGGTGCACAACATTTCATCACCTACTAGTTTCATAATACTTGCTCAATCAAATACCTGCTTATATAGTGTACATGTTCCCCATTAGGAGAAGAATTTGCACGTAAGCCCTGGAAACCGCCCTTTAAAATACAACACCTGCAACAATTACCGACACCACCAAACTGAGATTGAGCAGGCTATGTGCGTCTAAGCCTGGGCATTCTGACATAACAGTAGGTTTGCACACAACCAATAAGAAGGACAAAATTTACCCATTAAAGCCCAGATCAGCAGCTGCTGCCGCAACGCGCTGAGCACGCTTGCCACGATTTGACAGGAATATTATCAAATCCTCCCGTCCTGGTTTCTTTGCAGAGGGGAACTTCGTCTTCCAGTCAGCTGCTGAAAGCTGTAAACAAGCTCTAACTTCCGTTTCTGCATGAATTGACCCAGTTATCCTAGTCAAGGCAAGCCTTAACATTTTCTCCCAAATTTTCCTATTCTTATTCCTTCTCCCAAATGAAAGACGACCAGGTTTATGGGTGGAGGAAACGTACCAGGAATGTTGATTGCATTTTCAAAGGGCTTGGGCTCCGTGCGAGCTGCATCAGGGTGACGGACGTCGATGAGGAGGTAAGGAATGGGGTTAATCTCCACCAGTTTCTTCACTGCCATTGGACTCAAGTGAGCTAACAGAGGAGGCTCCACTGGCCGATACAGAATGACGTTCACGCGTCCTCCCCTAGAACTAAGCGCTTTGTTCTGTCGTCGACGTGCAAGGACGCTACGCAGTTGCCGGATTCCCCAAGCAAAGAGTGCTATCTGATAACAACCATTGGTTGTTTGATTAGTATACGCATGAATTGTTCGTAAAACTTATCGCTGAGGATATGATTTAGACATATCCTGCAATCTCTACATAATCCTTCACCAAAACGGCAGAAGTAATACCCAGATATGGATTGCAGCTGTTGTGGTTTTCTAAGCCTGGCAGAAGTCTAAAAAGATTTATAGTTTCGATTCAGACGCAACCAAAATACGGCAAAACGAGGTTGTGGTACCAATTGGGATTATTCACTGAAAAGCTCATGAACCTGATTGACGAATTTCAAAAAATGTACAAAATTCTTAGCGCATTAATAGAATGCTGATCTTTAACCAGTATGAATGCACCTGACACTCTTCAAAATCACAACGACGGAACAACTGAAGAATAGATCCTCAATCTGCATGCCATAGACCTTCTTCCCCATTTCGTCCATACACTTCTGAACCCCATCTCGCCAACAATACCAAAAAAGCTAGCGAGACGGATTCTCGCACGCCACGAACATCAAAAAACGCGGGGAGAGGAAATGGGAGCAAGGGCGCGGGATCCCACCTGCAAGAGAAAGGTGAGCGAGCCTCCAACGTTCGAATTCGCAAGCGCACACGCTCTTTATGCTTCGGGGGAGAAGCAGGCGGAGAGTCGTCATCGTCGTCGGGGAAAGGCTCGTCATCGTCGTGAAGGAAGCGGCCGGAGGGAAGCGCGTTCAAGGGCAGCCGATCTTCGGCGTCGTCAGCTGGGTCCTCGTCCGCCATAGCCACACAAACAGCGACAACCCTGACGCAACACAAAATTCAACCCAAAACCCAAACTCGCGGATACGAAATCAACGACTTCGCATCAATCGGAACTGGACTCCGTCTCCGGATTCGGCGACGATCACATTGACACGCGAATCCTTCAAGTCATGCACTCATCCTTTCGTTCCGAAGTCCCAGTTCCTCACACAACCAACTGAGGCCATTCGGGACGACGATCAATCTCTCATTGGGGCAAGTTCACCTAATTCCTATATATCGTTGATCGAACACGGACCAATGCATCAGTGATTCATTCAAGTCATTTACTCACTGCTTGATATAATAGGTCTCTCCCTTTGCATCACTTCCTTCGGCAAACGTTGCGATTGTAGAACAGTCATCGTATGATCGCCTCCAAGTGGCAGCATGAGAACGCCATTGATCTCGACCACAATTGTTCCTCTCAATTCTACGGTATTCCTTGCCCCTCAGACTCCGGAGTCAAGTGCTTTGTGATGTCAACATAATCCCACAAAATTCCAATTTAATAAGCTTGATGTCATCTTGATTTTGATGAATCTGATACACTTTTCGCACCACTTTGGGTTTCATGAGAGCGAGGTAACCCAGGTATTGAAATGTGGCACTCTCCATGTATGGACAGCTCCATGGTGTATTGCTCAAAACTTGCCGAATTATCGGCATTACAATACGTATGGTCAACTGTTCCACGAAGGAACGCGATGAATGTTCACCCAAATTTTGACGTCTAAGGTGCATTCAACCCAGGATGTTTCAAAGTTCTGCCTTAGTAGCAAATTCCATGATGCTTGTTCAGTCATCTAAGCTCCAACATGGTTACAGACAGTCAATTTGGTGGCTCCTCGCCACCACCACTACCAAATTGCAGGATGGCAGCCACTTCTTAAGTTTGAGAATTAAGCAAACAGCACACGATTTAGTAGAAGCTCCTGAAAATATATATATCTACTGCTGAAGATCTGGACGTCCGTCCAAAGATTGATAACATGCAAGAATTTCAACAATGGTTCTGCCAACATTTCATTCAATGGATTGAGAGGCACAGCAGCAGGGGTACAAATTGGCACATTACATCAACAAACAGTTTATATTTATCAATCCTGTGGCATTCTTTAAAAATTCGCACCGTACCACCTGCAAATTGCTACTCTCTACTCTCCGTATCTGCAGTAAAGCATTACGAAGTGCAAAGACATAAGCAAGCTCTGCAGCCTCGGAGTCTCTCCATGAACATTACTATAAAAATAACTACAGCAGGAAGAGGCAATAATGTATGCTATGGAATTTGAAAGCTAATCACTGTAGGATTCTACGACACTTTTCAAACATGTCTGATTCTTAGGTTTAGCAGCGTCTTGTCCTTCAGAGTTGGAATTGTGAACAAGAACTAAACTCAAAAGCAAGATTGTAACATACACCTGTGAAAAAAGAAAAATTCTAACAAATCCTCAGTGTTCTAATCCTGAAACGAGTATGAACTTATTTAGGTTTAGGATTATGTCTAAACTTCCACAAATACTAATTCCACATACATAGACAATGAAACTAGTCACTGAACCTGGAAACAGAGAGTGCTTGGTGAAGCCTTATAACTGGTCAAATGAAGGAATTTTATCTACCTCAGAAAGAGTAAAACACTCTCTGAGAAAAACCCTAGAGTAAGATAGTGTCAGCAAATGAAGAACCCAACTCGGAGACAAAGAAAAACACAATTCTTCTTCTTCTTCTTCTCCTTCTGCAAGAGCAGTTGGTGCACAAGTTTTTTAGATTCTTCCAAGATCTGTGTCTAATTCACTTACAAAAAGTGGATCCAACGTCAAATTCTGAAGCTTCATTATTTCACAATTATACATAACCAAGCAGATTTGACTGTATTGTTTAAAGACAGAATTCAATACTGATAACATCAGTAGGAATCGATATTGGGATTTACCAATACTTGACTCTTTTGGAATGATTATTAAATGAAATAAATAATGGTAATTGTTTGTATGTGGGGATGTTTTCTTTTCTTTTCTCTATGTTTCATTTAGATTAAAAAAAAACTATCCATGAACATATGCATGTATTATATACACATGCATACACCATTATCTTAAATTGAAGAATTATAAATTTATCTTCTTTATTTTATAAAATTATAAATTTTAAGATAGATATAATTTTTTTATATAAAATTAACATTAGTACTTATAGAAATATATTAAAAAAATTATAGCAATTAATTTATTATAAAAATTATATATATTTATATTTATATTTGTCTCTTATATATTGAAGCTAATATTTTTATATAGCTTACTTAGTTGATGTCTATTTGTTATCTATTGATGCAACGTTTCATAGAAATATCCATTCATGGACTCAGTGCTAATACTTGGGCAACATTGTGAACATTGATGCAACCTTTTATGGAAGTATTTATTTATGTATTCAATACCAAAGTTGTTGTTGTATTGTAATATGATTATAAAGTGAAAGAAAAAAAATGTGAATTATAGTTTAGAAAAGTATGGATAAAAGATAGGTAGTTAATATATTTACTATTGATGTTGCTTTTTTGTAAAAAAAATAGTTCTACTCATTTTATAAGACCATAAATAAAATAAAATAAAATAGATTAGGTATACATATATATATATATATATATATAGGCATCTTTAGGAGAGAATTAAAAATAATTTTTAGCAACAAATTACCTTAAAAAGCTAAAATTTGATATAGAAAGAGGACTTGTTGTAAATCAAGTTCAAAACTAGATCCTATATCATAGACACACAAATGAAGAAGGTTCCAGAAGGTTCCAAAAGATACCAATAGATTCTAAGAAGGCTCTTGAAGATTTTGGGAGATTCCAGAAGGTTCCAGTAGATTCTAAGAAAGTTTTAGAAGGTCATGGGAGGTCTTAGAAGGTTCTAGGAGGCTTTAGATGATTTAGAAAGTTGCTGAAGAAGGATCTTAAGCTTGCTTTGTTTTCAAGCCTCATAGAAACTTTTCAAAAAGCTTTCTAGGACCTAGTATATATAAGAGTCGAGGCTGAGCAAATCCTCGGTCTCAACAATTCACTTCTTGTGGTCTAGCTAGGACCTTCTTGTCTTGTATCCAGTTATTATTTTAATGTTGAGCTAATTCCATTTCTTAGTCTTAAATCCTTGTCTTGTATATGCTCTCTAACAATTTGTCAAGACTGCCATAAAACAATATTAAGAGCTTCGTCTTTTTTGACAGAGAGTGGATTATCCCTCTTCTTGGAAGTACTATAGTATTCTAGAGGTTGTGGATTATCCTCCCCTCGAATAATAATGTTCTTTTCTTAATATTCTTTTGGTTTTTTTTTTTTTTTATATCATAAATCAAGTTTTTTTCTTCTGAAGGTGTATGTTTCTCTAATTTTCTATGGTAGAAGGTAAAAAAGTAAATAGGATAGATTCAAAAGAGATCAAGTTAAATTATATTATTAATGCTCTTAAAGTATTGAAGATTAGAACAGAGACTTTGTCGAAGCAGAATGAAGAACTATATATGACCATACATAATGGTCAAGGAGCTGGAGTGCCTCAACCACCACATCAAATTGCAACAAAGGTTCCAAATTCTCAAATGACTATGTCTACTTCAAACATGGGAGGTGCATCCACTTAAGGCAATGATCTAATAACAATAATAACAAAAGAATTAAGGATCAGCCTTCTAGAAAAGTTTGATGGCACCTACTCAAAATTTTGTGGCTTTGTAAACCAAGTATGACTAATCACCTTCCTTCAACCTCAACGATATTCCACTCAAGCATCTCATGTTGGTTTGATTGGAATCTTACTTTTGGATCAAGCTTTATCTTGGTTCGCCTCATTATTTGAAAAGAATTCTCTTATATTGTACAATTTTGAAGCATTTTTGGCAGTATTTATGGAAGCATTTGGCAAATATGATAAAGTTTGTTCTTCAACAACTAAAATTCGAAGCCTTCAATAAGAAACGCAGTCTACATCAATGTATGCCTCAAATTTTTTACAATTAGCATGTAATATAAATTAGAAAGAAGATGCATTGATGAATCAATTTCATTGGGAATTAAGAGACAATGTCAAAGACTTATTGTTATTTATGCCAGATCTTCTAACACTCAATGAAGTGATTAGACAAGCTGTGAAATATAAAAACCGTTTATTTCAACAAAAACAAGATAAACATTCTTCAATTATGCCACATATATACATCAATTATTCTACGGCTTCTTCACTATCCAATTTTAATGAGCAGTTGGAAGCAAAAGATATGTAAATTGATATAGTTCACTTCAAACTTCTTTCTAAGTAAGAAAAAAAACATCAAAGATATCTTGGCCTATGCTTATATTACAAAAAATCTCGCCATAAGCTTAATAATTTTTCAAAGAAATTCTAGCATACATATCAAATGAGGAGTGCAGCCACATCATAAAAAACATTGTAGGAAAACAAGGGCATTCAGCCATAGTAGAAACTGTGTAGTTGGATTCTTTACTATCATAAACAAAAAAAAGTCATGTACTCTCTACCAGCCGTTCTCGTTGTTTTACTATACCTATATGGTTAGGAGTCACAAAACTAAATTATCATGCATTACTTGATTTATGAGCCTCTACATGTTTTATTAACAAAGGATTTTCTAAATCACACAAAATTTGTATGGTCAAAAAACCTAAAGCCATATATATAGAAGTAATAGATGGTCGACCTTTATCCTCTAGAGATGTCACTCATAAAACAATTCCATTAGAAATAACCTTTAACAACCATAGCAGCCAAGTAGTATTCAACATCATTAGCTTACCATCAAGTCCACTCATTTTAGGACTCTCATGGCTTGAAAAATACAATACACAAATAGATTAAATATCACAAAAGTTAGAATTTTTTTTAGTAGATTATAGAACCCCCAAATCTATATAAAAGCTTCTAACATCCGACAAGCCAAAACTTAAACAACATTTATTTATTGGAGTTAGAGCATTTGTGAGAGCAACCAAACAAAGTACTATGTTTGCTGTCTATGCAAATCCACAATCAAAACATGTGATTGCTACAACAACAATTCCAGAGGCGTATAAGGATTTTATAGATGTATTTGAAAAGAAAAATGTGGATATCCTACCAAAGCATTGCCCTTACAATTTTGCAATTGACCTTCAAGAATGTGCTTAACCACCATTTTCATCCATCTACAATTTATCCCAGAATGAGCTTGCAACTTTAAAAGAGTACATTGAGAAAAATCTAGCTAAGAATTTTATTTGACATTCCAAATCACTAACTGGTGCTCCAATATTATTTGTGAAGAAGAAAGATGGATCCTTAAGAATGAATGTCAATTATTGCGGTTTTAATAAAATCACAATAAAAAATTGATATCCATTGCCGTTGATATCCAGACTTTTTAATCAACTTAGCTAAGCAAAGATCTTTACGAAGATTGATCTATGAGGCATGTATAACTTAATAGGCATTAAGGAGGGAGATGAATATAAGACAACATTTTGTACTAGATATGGACATTTTAAATACAATGTCATGCCTTTTGGACTTATCAATGTTC